CACCTCATCCCTCTTCCTGGCGTGCCTGCTGGTGCTATCGGTCGTGGCCTCGGTCCTTGGGCATGACCATGCCGCCGGCGATGCTCTGCACGCGGATATCGTTCACCATGCCTCGATCCTCGGGGCTGATGAGACGGAGCTTCTCTCCGAGAACCCGGGAGTCGTGTTCTTCATGGTTCACGACTTTGATTCGGACGGGTACGCACTTGCGTGTTACGGGCGAGACCTCGCATGTTCCCTCTTTTCTTCCTGCTTCTCTTTCTTTGTCTCTCGCTCCTTGTGCCCCCCCCCCCCCACCAACAACTTTCCCACTCACACCTCCTCTCGCCAATGCGTACGCGGTATTTGGCACGCTATTAGCTTCCTCGACAGCCATGAGTTCCGTGCGGCCATCGCCGACCTGATCGACATTCGTTCAATGAGTCTCTCGCAACTGAATCAGTTGGTCGAGTCGCATCTCAACAAGGCTGACCGCGACTACGATGGGCGCCTGTCCTTCGAAGAGTACATCACCTCCGAGTTCCATGAGGTGTTTGTCCTGGCTCCGAAGTCCGGCAAGAGCAACTGATGCCCCCCCCCCCCACTTCCCCCTCCCCCGCTCGCGACCACATGTCGGGCCACTGTTCCCTTCTTTGGGTGGCTCGGCCTGGGACTGTGCCCGGTCTCCCCCTCCTGCTGCCCGGTGGTCGTGAGTGGGGGACAAATACATCGTATTGTCCTTTCACACACACACACACACACACACACACACGCGTTTGGCCCGGCTCCCCTCCCCCCCTCACATGTACTGGCTGCTTTTGCTTATTCTTCGGGCTGCCATGTGTATTGGCCCGGCTGTCCTCCTGACGGGGATGAATGAGCGGGCGTGGCTGTACCTCATGTGCACCAGAGGCGCATACGTCTATCTCGCACGCCGATGCGCGACCGGCCAAATCACTTCAAGCCAGCTGCATGGGTGCGCACGGTGGACAAAAGGGTGGCGAAGGACCCGCGGCCAGCAGCGGTGCCAGCCGGCGGGAGGTTGAGCAGGGCAATGTCGCGCGCGGCCTTGGCATCCTCGGCCGAGTCGTGTCCATCCGCACCGGACTGCTGGATCTGACGATTGAGCAGGGAGCTGGTGATGACGCGCAGGCCCTGCTTGTAGTGGCGCTGATTGAAGGGGATGTTCGGATGGAGGGAGAACTGCCTAGAGGGGGTCCCCCCCCGGCGAACGGGGTTCTGCGTCATGATGGACGTGTCAACCACCAGGTCATAGCCAATCCGAAGGCTGGTCAAGTCACTGTCCAGCGAGTGTCCAATGAGGACCGTATAGCCGGGGGTGATCAACCGGGCCAGATCCGCCTGGACCACGGCCAGTGAACTGCGAATCGGCAACCCCAGACGAGGAGAGAAGAATCCCTCCGAAAAGTCGGTTTCCATGACGCCAGACAGGGATGTCTGATAGTCATAAACACGGCCCTGTGTCCCGTTCGCCATCCCCGGAAGGTGTAAGTCAACAGTGGCAGGGGTGGCAGGAGTGGTAGGTGGCATCGGGTGGATTTGTTGGCGTAAGGGTCAATATAATATGCATATGGAAACATGAACATATATATATATATATATGTGTGTGTGTGTGTGTGAAAATGCATGCACTTGCCGAAGAAGCACGAAGGGGACTTCAGCTTTGGCGTACCATCGGCCGGACGAGCACATCATACACCACCTCATCCGAAGTGCAGACGGCCGTCACGCGGACCGCCTGGACCCCGTACTCGGTGCTGACCATCTCACAGTCGATGGCCAGCAGGGGGTAGCACACTGGGAAGCGGATAAACCGCTCCGGCGGGACCTCGCCCGGCTGTAGCGGGATCTCGCCGACCGGAGAAAAGGGAGCTCCAGTCACATCGGCCCAAAGGAGAGAGGGGGATTCGGCGGAGACACCAGCCGAGGGGGTAATGGCATGGGCCTTGATATGGACTTGCCGCTGGCCCGGTCGGCCGAGCCACACAAAGGGGATCGGCGGCATGAGGGCCACCTCGGATAGGCTGCGGGCCCGGAAGACATGGGGACCGGTGGCACATGGAGGCGAGGTGGAGGACTTCCCACAGCATGGCCGGACCATGTCGAAGTTCATGCGCATCGGCCGGCGGGGGTGATGCCGGCATGCGTTCGATGAGGGCTGATTGTCTGGGTCATCGGGCGAGAAGGGCATTTGGCACCGGTCACAGGCGCGTTTGGCGGCCAACAGGCGAGTGACTTTGTGTGTGTGGGTGAAAGAGGAGGAGCAGAGGGAGGACGAAAGGCAGGGAGAGGTAAGTCAAGGACCAAGTCAGACAAGGGGAGCTTTTGTTGATGCATGTGTGTGTGTGTGTGTGTGTGTGTGTGTGTGTGTGTGCACAGGCCACGCACTGAGATTCTCGCCCTTGGTGAGAATGGTGTTGAGGTAGTCGCAGTCCATGGGGAAGGCATTGGACGCCAGGATCAGGTCCGAGTGAGCACGGCCAAGTAGAGCGGCATGATTGATCGACCGGATGTGCCCCGGGAAGAGAGGCCCATTGTGCATGATGGTGGTGTATGCGGCGCCGAAGCTGCTGCCGGCCATCTCGGGCGGGCTCAAGTAGGAGGTGGGAAAGGTGAGCGCCTGTGGATGGTTGGCCTTTGCGGTGTCGAGTGGGGCTGCCGCGTCGAAAAGAGCCCCAGCGCAGAGGGTATAGTAGAGCCGGAGGAGGTCCATAGCCTGGCGCGCAGGAACGGTCCCCTGCGAGCGGAACCCCCCGAAAACGATGTGGTAGTTGCAAAGCTCCACCAATTGGGCAATTCGCCGAGCGGCGTAGTGGGGCTCGGCATCGGCGATCGATCCGAAGACTGCCCAATCCACTTCGGGCGACAGGGCATTCGGCCCGGACGCCTGGAGGATGTCGATCAAGGTGACACTACGCTCCTTCCAGGCGGCCAGGCGGGCTGGATCATCGAAGGATGTCAGCAAAGACTGGTGCAGGGAGTTTACGACGGCCACCTTGGCCTCGGTGATGTATTCGGAGAGGGGATTGGCCGGGAGGGGCATGACGGCCTGCAACTAGGGTCAATATGGGAAAGGTGTATGTATGTATCTGTGGATCTCTCTCTCTCTCTCTCTCTCTCTCTCTGTGTGTCTGTATGCAGGTGCCCGGTTGGACACTTACAGTCAGGTACACCTGTGTGCAGTGATGCACACAGCCATATACACGAAGTCAAGAGGAGGCACGTACCGGGGAAGAGCCCTCCGGGGAGGTAAACATGGCGTTCATTCTCAACGCAAGAGCACGGAAGGCTCTGGTGTGGAAGAGGCGAAGGACAGGTATTGGGTCGTGAAGAGGAGGCTGGGGCTAAGAATCGACAATGGCAGGGCAAGGGTGAGGAGGCAGGCAGGCAGGCAGGAGAGAGCATGAACCGCGGGAATGGCCCGAGGGTGGTGCCTGGCTGGAAGCAGAAGAAGGCACGCCGGGCAGCAGGGACGCGGGCTGGCGATCCGCGGCCCGCAGGGCAGAGGTGGCTATCGGTCGTCCTTGGGGAAGATTGCTGGGTGAGAGCCGCTTGCGCCGGGCACATGGGCCTGCGGAACGCGGGCCCCCGATCCCCCCCCCCCCCCCCCCCTCCGCCCCATCGCCGAGTCCGCCGCGACCAAACACAAAGCCTGCCACGCAGGAGCGGGCGAAGTGCCGACGCATCTCAAAGGCGAGGCGATAATGGCATTATTATTAGACTGCCGACGCATGGGCATATACCAATCCTCGATGGCAGTTTCCCGCGTAATTTTCCCCACTGCACTGCCGCCACTTGGTTTGTGCTTGTCCGGAGGACTCTTCCTCTCTCTCTCTCTCTCTCTCTCTCTCTCTCTCTCTTCCTCTCTCTTGGGGAAGGGGCAGGCTCTCCTCGCCCCCCCGGGGACTGGAAGCTAGGGGATCAACGGGCGGGAGGAGGCGCGATGGTGGTGGGGCTCGGAACGCGACAACCGGCTGTTGCTGGCAGGGCATAAAATCTCTGGCGGTTGTGCCCGGTGGCTGTTGGGCATGTGCGCGTGGCCAGCCCCACTGCTGGAGGGTGAGCATGCTCACCCTCAACACCACCACACGGGGCTGTCTGCAACCCACGGGAAGTTCCCGGGGG